CTTTCCCTCCCTTTTCCCCCTGCTAGATATATGTGAACCCACAGAGTCCTTCATATTTTTCTGATGAAGGGCTGGAGGTGAAAGATCATAATTCCAAAATCTCCTGTGTGACATCACTGATAACAAGAAGGAAGAATACAGATGCCAGTGGAGTGTAAGTAGTAGTAAAAGTCTTTGGAGATTAGTTAAAGGAAAAGATGCTGAGGTGTTTAACAGCTGCAAAAGCTGTTTACCTCAACAACATGCGCTAGATGACAAGAAGTAAAACTGTAATGTGTATCATTAAAATCATTAAAATGGAAGAACAGATATTGCTTCTGTTCCATGTAAGTCTTTGAAAGTGCCATTCTGATAAACTTTCTAGTGATAAACCGTTAGGACGGGGTAGGCAATAATTTTTGAAGGGGGGGCCGCTTCATCCATTTTGGTAGTGGCGGTGGGCCAGCCCTGGAAAGGGTGGGCCTTGGGTGGAAGGGGTGTGCCCCTGGTTAGGGGGAGACTTTGAATGCTTCCCTGTGGGGTGGGGGAGCACTTAAGGGCTCTTGCCCCTCCCCCATGCTGCCAGGCACATGCAGTGCCCATAGGGAACAGCCAGCCATTTTTAACAGCTGGCAGTTCCCTCCTGGTGTCACATGCTCCTGGTAGATGAGATGTTGCACACTCCCCTATCCACAGGCCCCGATTGGCTTGGGGGCAGGGGAGTGTGCAAAATCTCCCACCCTCTCCCAGCTAGGACAAATGACAGATAGAGGGAACCAACAGTCATTTTAAATAGCTGGCGGTTCCCTCTGGTGCTGTGTGACCCTAGCAGGGGGAAGAGACTTTGCGGGCTCCCCTCCCCGGTCTCATTTGGCCTGGGGCGGGGGAGCAGTAGGATGGGCCAGATCAAACAACTTGGTGGCCTGAATTCAGCCCGCAGCCTGGATCTTGCCCATCCCTGCTTTAGGAAGAGGCCTAGCTAGCATGAATAACTGAGAGCAGAAACAGGTTTAAAGAGTGAATGATTGTTTGAAATCATATCCAAAGTGAATAACTAGTCAAAGGAGTGATGACATTGTGTATTGGGATTAGGACATATTTCCTCTTCACAGTCAAATAAAGGTTTTATTTATAATCAGTTAGCAATACTAGGCACAGGTTGAAATCATGAAAACCAGGAGTCAGTCCCTCCCAATGCTAAATGTATGTGATTTGAAAAGGAGTGAAAGTATATTCAATTTTAATAGTTTTCTCTTATAAATTCTAATTAATACAGTTAGATACAAGCTGAAACCACAAACCAAGCACCTTCTAATTTAAGGGTGTGTTGGAATTTAAATTCCTGGGCTTTGGTTTTGGTTCCAGGTCACAAAAGGGGCCTCCAGTGAGGATGTGGCCAGTATCTCCTAACACACCTGATTTCATGGATTTCCTCTATCTTTGGCTGAAATCTTGTAAGAATCTACTCCTGAGCATGAGGATTCAAACCACTTGAATCTGAAGCCTAGACCTAATTTAACCTTGAACTTGACCGGGAAATGCTAGCTCAAACCTCATCCACCTCTGGATACTAAAACAGTCGCCTCAGCCCATATCTAGTGAAAAATATTTCCAAAAAAGTCAGTTCCTGGTTTCCTGATTAACCTGACACTAATTGACTTATGATGAGCCTTCACAATCTGCAAACAGCAGCTCTAGTCTGTGGCCAGAAAGAGGTCTAATTCCAGAATATTTAACGAACTAATAAACATATAGTGATTTATCAACAAAACCACACAATGCATTTTGTTATGTCACTTTCCTGCTATAATTTTGAAAGTCTTAGTCCTGCACTTAGTATCTTGGCAAGATGTTATGCCAATGACCCAAGAGTGGTTATTCACATCATGCTGCTGAAGGATATCTATAAGAAATTAGGTCAAGCATACTGGCTCCTGGCTAGCTTTGCTATTCTGCCTGTCTTCATTAAAGTTCCTCTACGTCCCTTTGTTAATATTATAGCAATATGTTGGTGGTTTCAAGTTGCATTTCAATGTCATGTTCCAGATGGCAACATGAATTACACTTGAAAAGGGTAGCACTTCCTTTGATGGAAAGAAAAGAATATTTAGAAAGGTGAACATAGGCAATTTGTGCTTGCAATAAATTAGTTTGTAGGCATACAGTTTCCACACATCTAGGACACATGTGCATGCATGCACACCCATACAGATACATACCCAACATTTGCATACTCTGACAAAGAAAAATGCAGTACCAAGATGCAGTATTCACTTATATCCTATACGCTGTAGTTTTCAGTTTGTAATGCAGACAATAAAACAATAGGTTTTCTACATTTCAGAAATCCAGGTTCCACAATAATTTAGTGCGATATAATACTGTTTATGCCAGCTCTTAACCTAAATTAATAAATACTAGAATTAACAAGAGCTGAACAAAAATATAAATCAACTAATACTGTTCTGTAATTACAACAGACCTGATTTACTGCATATTTTAATGCTGAGAGAAAAGATATAGGGACCATATTTTCTGTACACTATTTCCCGTCCTCTCAAAAATGACATGTTATTAATTCAATGAATAAGTTTCTAACATTGTTCAAGTATATGTAGCCCAAGATCCAGTGTGTTTCAGCAGCAGCCCTAGGAACTACAAGTTGTGGCCTACAAACTGCAGCATGTTGGGAGAACTTCCTGGTTCCTGCCAGGATGTGCCCTCTGCCCACAGCAGGATCTCAGCAGGGACTGTGCTAGAAGCAGCACTGGGCTGCATGCTCAGAGGAAGGGCTGCTGAACTGTCATTCGGTTTTATGTTTTTTCAGGAAGGACTAGAAAGGGCTATAGAGCACCTTGAGAGGAGTTGAAGTGACACAAAGGGAGAACCTGGACTTGGGTTATTGTGGGGTTTAGTTACTGTAGAAGTTGGAACACGTTGTAAGGGGGCTGTGTTGTATGCTGTAACCTCTGTGCCCAGGAGGGTCTCAGCAGGGACTGTGCTAGAAGCAGCACAGGGCTGCATGCTGAGAGGAGGGGCTGCTGAACTTTGATCCTGTTTTATGGTTTTTTACAGAATAAAGCCTGTTCCTGGTGATTCATCTGAGTGGGTCTGGTCTGAGGTGCACACACATATACAATGTAGAGCACACCAAACAGCCTCAGGCCTAGCCTCCCACAGTGGTGTAAGAAGTCACAAGGTTTCCGCCTATGCTGCATAACCTCACCCTGGCCTAGCGAACAGGAGGGGTTACATATAGATAGTCTATAACTTGCCAAGTTAATGTAAAAAAGTTCAAAGAAAGCAAGCAACTAACCCACATATTCATAATTAGGCATCAGCATAGGATAGTAGGATAAGTTAATAGATACAGATGTTCCTTCCTGAATGAGCACTGTCATGCCTTACAGGATGAGCTGAAACTTCAAACTTTTGAACCATAAACCAGTAGCTCAAGAAAAACTTAGCCCTGACCATCCCAAAATATAAGTGAGAGTGGGAGGAAGGGGGGTTAAAATGTGTATTATTTGACTGGATGTATGGGAGAGATTTTTCTCGGTTACAGACTTGTGGTTTCCCATGATGGGTAAATATGTTTCTTTGCACTGGAAATAAGATGGCTGGGAGATTCATGGCTTATGTAGCCAGTTTGCTCATGATTTTTAGTTTTGGTCCCCACGGACCCTCAGTCTCGCTGGACTGCTGTGAACCATGAGGGATGAAGTGGTGGCAGTAGATGTTATCGTACTATGTTACCCATATACTCAGTGGTTTACTTTGTCTAACTTGGTTTCCTTTTTCTCCCTAGTCATGGTTGATACAAAATATCCATCTTCACTGTTCCATTGTAATTATAAAATAAAACAGACCACTTAAAGCTATTGTCACTTGTTAAATGAACAGTCATACTCTACTAGAAAGAAAATGGCAATCACAGCAGAAAACTTACATTGATATCTTCCAAATCTAGGAAGTTCAGTATGACTCCATTGCGTTTCCAGATAATGGGGGGCCTAAGGGTTCCATGGATAGCACAGGTCAATACAGCGCTCAGTCCAACCGTCACCGTGGTAATGCTAACCTTCTGCTCTTCAGGAAGAGTGAGTTGTACCACCTCTGCCAAAAGGAAGGGAAAAAAGCAAGAAATTATCACTACAGGTTGATCCTCTCTAGTCTGGCACACTCTGGTCTGGCAACATCCATGGTCTGCCATAATTTTAGTTAGCCAAATGTCCACTTATCATGGGCGCGGCCAAGTTTCCTACAGTCCCATAAAGTTTGTCTACATTCACCAGTCTGGCCTCTTTGTGTTCGGTGCTATTATTTAGCCCTAATTTATCCCTAAATGTCTTCTAAGGGCCCAGTAAGCAGTGGAACTGTTGGTAATGCTGCTAGACAACATTAACTTCCTGTGGTTTGGCAAATTCTCTAGTTTGGCACCAGTCAGGTTCAGAGGGTGCCGGACTAGAGAGGTTCAACCTGTACCAAAATGAAGCCATTGTTCTCCCATTCATTCTTTGAACAGATTTCAGCTTTGAAAAAGATATCCACAGTAAAAAGGATCAGCTGAAGCAACAAAGCAATGAAAGCTTCCAGTTTAACTTAAGTCTTTGGATGTTGGACAACGTCCTTACTAGTTAAAGTAGAGCAATGATATCAGACATGTTCCATTCCTCCCTGAAGTAGCAGAAATAAGATTACATATACTGCAGCAATAAAATAATATTTTAGCTGCATTTTTTAGTAAACCTAGCTGTTTTGAATTTTTAACGTGAAATATAGAGCCTATAGGATGGGAAATCAACAGTTTCCAAATATTACCTAACATGTCAGGTAGCACTTTTTTTCCTCTGCTAAAAAACTGCAACATCTTTCCTATATTTTCCGTTTAAAATTTTAATTTATTTTCATTTGCACCTACATCTAAAAAACATACCTAGTTCAGGCTCTTGGCCCATTTAATATTTCTTTATAACCACTTTTCCAGATCAATGGTTCTAAAGATGTGTTTGCATATTTTTCTATATATGGCTATGTGTCTGAATAAGACAACTGATGTCAGAATTATTGCCAGTGCAGATAATCATGATTAATCATTTCAGCAGCAGTGAGCAAGCAGCAAGGCAATCGAGCTGCACTGTCATAAAAACAGTAACATTCACAATTTTATCTTTCCTATGATATTTTTTTCCTTGCGCCTATACATAAGGCATCTACACAAAAGCCCTTGAAACCATGTCCCATTTCAATGCTCAAAACTGAGCTTTTCAAGTTAACAGCCCATTAAGAGAAATATGGAAAGTTCAACACCACTTTTGGTGCTACATTGCTTCAGTCTGGCTGAAGAACAAACAAGATAGCAGTGCATTGATTTAGAGAGCCCCTACATCTATGGAAAGCAGACATCTTCTGTGCCTGTGGATTTCCATTAGTTACAGTTGCTGTATAATGCTAACTGAAAGGCAGCTGCCATGAGAGAAAAGAGCAAAATAAGATTTTTTTTTAAGTGCAAACATGGATATTATGGAAATAAAAACTTGTGAAGAAACAGCAGGAGTCTCATCACGATTAAATAACGAGAGTTATCAGAACTGGCGTTTGATTCATATAACAGCACTTCCGCCTAAAACCTGTCACTTCTCTGAAAGCAATTTTGGGCGTATTGAAACATTAAGCAATTTTCATTATTTTGACAAGGGGAAGCTTTAAGTAAGACTGTTTGAATGGGTCCACCAGACATATGCCGTAGCCTGCCACTAGTCACTGTTGAGTAGCAATGAAAAAAAACAGCAACAATTTTACAGCCATGTTACCGTGGTTCTAAACAATCTGAAATTTGTAAGGAAGACAATAGCAGGGAAAAACCTGTTGCACCCTTTCTGTTTGATGAGCTTTTGTCAGAAACTGTGATTAGGGACTGGATCATTTGATTGCATACACTCTGCTGTCTGTCTTTTTCCTTTATTCATATCCACAGAAATTAACTAGCTGGCATGAGACAAAGATCAAACAAAGTGATATTGCCTAGTTCACACATTTTAGGAAAAACTTATTTTGGACAATGCCCAAGTTGAAATGAGAAATGCTGGGGTGGGCCAATTTACTTCCCCCATCTCTTAACTTCAACTGGCAACATACATAACATGGATTTTCCCTTCTCCCATTGCAATTAATGAAATATATCTCTGTGAAGAGCACCAGCACAAGTAATCTAATAGAATTAAATTAAATTTAAGTGATGCAAACGCCCTCTTCTGGCCCTCTGAAGAGGGATGAACTTCATATAATCTGGACAATTACGTAATCAATGTCCGAGGGAACTCTAGGGAGGACATGGTTGTGATTTCTCTCACTGGTGAAAATCCTCAGAAGGAAAATCTTTTGTACTGCTTGTATCGAAGATACATAGTTCTCTTTTAGCTTGATTTATACCAATCAAATGTGCTAAATTAAAAAAGAAAACAACATCTATATTTGTAACCTATGCATGAAAATAAACACTATTTTCCATGACTTTTAATTTCGCCTGAGTTTTTCATTTGCATTTGGCTTCTCTTGAGTTACTAGCTTGGAGACTTTTCTGGTTTAGTGGATTTTCTCCCTCTGGTAGCACTGGAAAAACTAAAAGGATTCACTTCATATTCTCCCACTGCTTGTCAATCTATCAAATGATTGTGAACACTTGAGTGCAAAGGCCTTTCAGGTGGCTGGCATGAAACAATCATCAACCTCCAAGTAGACAAGCAGTTCAGAAAAGATGACCGCCGCATCCTTCTTGTCCGTATTTCCCCCAGCTAAGTCAGAAGATAATGTATTACTTAGTGTGTTGCAAATTGTGTCCACTGCTGGAGGTCTTCAGTTGATTCAGGACTATAAAAATCAACATGACATTCCATGTGCTGTGTGCAAAAGATCAGCTCTTGTTCCACTTCATATTCTCAGTGCTACTTTAGGAAGAGCACAAATTGTGGGCAAGAAATAGTAGCTATAAAAATTATAACAGGCTGAATTATTATTGGTATTTGGATTATGGAGGTGCTTAGAAATCTCATGAGTAAAGCAAGGTAAGTAAATAAATACAAGTTCCTGCCCCCAAGCAGTTTATAATCGACATAGACAGGATAGACAAAGAGTAGGAGGGTAAACAGGCACAGACAGGTGCCGTGACATGCCCAATGTCACACAGTAGGTCAGTGGCAGAGCTGGGAATAGATCCCAGGTATTCTAAGTCCCAGTTCAGGTGAGTTCTCTACCTGATGGACCACACTGCTTCTAAATTCCTTTTGCCCTTGCTCAATCAAAACTTCACATCATCTTAGGAATGTACAGTGTCCCACAGTCACTAATTATAGCACCATATTCTACCATCATTTCCTTCCTTTCTGCCCTGACTATGCATACTGGCTATATGCTTTAGTACTGTAGCTATTTTTTTGCTAAAGTACGCAGTTCCTTTTAATGTGTACAGTATATTGTATGTACTTGACAGGATAAACAACAGTTAATTAGTATAATATGTAGCATGGACTAAGGCTCATAAGGATCATCTTCCTTTGAAGAGAAATGATACAGAGGATCACTCGCTAGAAAACTGTGTTTTATTTCTTATTACATTTTTTCCTTAATCCTATGTGCTGTTTTTCACACTGCACTGAATGCTACAAAACACTCCTAAAACCCATCAACACCCTCTTCAACAGGATTTTGTTTTTGAGTGCTTTGCTGCAATAAAAAATAGATTTATTTGCAAATTATAGCCAAATAGGCTTTAGTTTTGCATGTTTGAAGTGTGCTAGAGTAAAGCAACTGTTTACTTGTAGAAAAGGAGAAAATTGAATAGTTGTCATACTTTACTGAAATTATATCCAAAAGGTCATTTTGAGATTACAACACATAGTAAGTAGAGATCAATTGAAAAACAAAAACACAATACATTTTTGTTTTCTCACTGAGCAGGCTTGAGAGCACATTGTTAGTAGCACATTAAATTTGAAATAGTTCTACATTAGTTATAATTATTTATCAGGCATTTAGTCACTGCTTTACCAAAGTTCATCCATTATCCAAGATACACTTACACAACCAGGTTTATTCAGATGTATACCTATGTTAAATGGACATAATCAACTTAAAAACCACAATTCTGTGTTAGGGTACATCTAGACTGGAGAGTTTTTCCAGGATACTCTCCAGGTAGCTTGAAAAAACTCTGCCACGTCCAAGGAACATGTCTGCTCTTCCAAAAAAATTTTCAGAAGAGATGTGTTTTTTGGCATCCTGTAAACCTCGTTTTATGAGGAAAAAGAGATGTTCTGAAAAAGGGTTTCTTTCGCCCAACATTTGGCCCAGTGTAGATAGGCCAAATGTCAGAAAAGCTTCGTCCCAAAAAAAGAAGCGGAAAAAGCTATGCAAATTGCGAAGCGCAATTTGCATCTCTTTTTCTGGAAGAACAGTGTAGTGTAGACACAACCTTAATGTATTTGTTTTATAGCTATTGCAGTTACCTACAACAAAAGGAATAGGGAGAAAAACTGCCATTGGTTTTGTATATTTGACAATACATTGAACTACACTACAGCTGACAATAAATTTTAAGAGAGTAGTCCCCGTGACTATTCATGTCTAGAGGACTATTCATACATCTAAAATTTAGCACGTGCTTAAGTTCTTTGTTGATACAGGGCAATAGTGAGTTTCCCCTGTTATTCATGGGTCTTTCAAAGAACTGCTGGAGAGAAGAAAGATTTTTAAAAAGAGAAGAAAATATAATTGTAATATCACAAAAAGTAGACGAAGGGTCTGTGTGCCCTGTAAAATTGGTTTGTGTAATTAGTTAATACACTACCAGTAAATCAGCGCACTGCAGAGTAATTTGCCTTTTTTTTAATTGGGTAACTTCTTTTCAGAGCAAGAGTAGGAACGTTACATATAATAATTTTGAGCTGTGTAAAACGTGCTGATCTCTACTTGCATGGTTGTGAATGAAACTCCTGTACATTCTGGGAAATCTGGGTGCTTTGAGCATTTAGCTCCCCCCACCCCACAAACACACAAAAGCAAAGGGATTTAATAGTTGAGGAGAAGGCCCGGGTATTTAAAAAAACCCAGCACCCTAA